GAGATTCTGTCTTAAAAAAAAAACAAAAACAACTTTCACTACGTATAGCTCCATAACTCATTCTAGTATACTCTGCCTCAGAAATACTTACACATGTTCACACATATGTGTAAGAACATTCACTGAAGCACCGACTGACAGTGGAAACGCATCCTGAGCAGAATCCCGTCTATGGATTACCATGATGCCATGAAGAAGAACCCAGTCAGTATCTGCATATGGCCTAGAACAATCCCCAAGACAGAACTACATATACAGTAAGGTCTCTCACGGGTTTGCTTTTTCTAAACTTCATGTGTATGTATGAAAACGCTCAGGAAAAAGATTAGAAGGATAAATGCCAAATTACCAACAGTAATTAGTTCTCATGAAGGGAGAACTGCAGGGGTGGGATAAATTTTATTTCACCTGCACTGCTGTTTAATACTTTAAAAGAACGTATGCATGTACTACACTTTTATAAATTGTGTTTCAAAAGAAAACAAAAAAGTCTATTAGCAAATCTATTTGGGTCAAAAGAGGTAATATAAATAGGGCTTCTAATTTCCATTCCTAAAAGGAAGTTTCCTAGTTCTTAGGGAGTCTCTCGTGGGAAGGGGAGTTAAACAGCCTTAAGAAGTTTCCTGACAGAAGGGCTATTCTTCACCACGAATGTTACTCACAGCTTGCGAGGTGGACACAACCGTGGTGCTGACAGGGACCTGCCGCACAGTGGGGGCTCCTGTCCCGATGCTGATGGGGGTGCTTGCAGCCCCAGAAGCCACAGCCACAGTCTTGGACACAGCGGCATTCATACTGGGCAAGGACACCGCTGAAGTATGAACAGTTCCAGACCCGCTGGCTACCGAGGCCCCTTGCTTGGCATGGGCTGCAACAGTGATGGTCTGGCCTGCTTTGGGAGGCATCACCCCCAGGCCCTGCACGATGCGGATCGTGGCAGCTGGCTTTGCTTCTGAAGACGCCACTGTGCTTTTGCCCTTCTGGTCTGCCACACTCACACCAAGAGCTGGCATCAAGCGAAAAGCTGAACTCGAGGCTTCTGTTGGCTTGAGGTCAGGAGTCACTTTGACCACGGTGGTACCTGTTGGAGTGGATGAAGGGGCACTGGCTGAACTGGCCTTGGCAGGGCTATCAGCTGCATGGACTGGATTGGAAGTGACGTGTAAGGTAGCAGAGATGCCTTTGCCTGCGGTGCCGCTTCCTGTCCCGAAGAGGTCCTGGGTCAGTTTGACTGTGGTAACCTGGGACTTGGCCAATGTGGCCATCATGTCCGGAGTGATTCGCAGAACCGTCTGGCCCTTGGCATCTGTGGTGATGGAAGAGGGTGGCAGACGCAATACATCCTTACCCTGGATACGGAAGTTAGTGGCTGTGAGAGGAATGCTGTTGCCCGTCTGGGGCTTCACACCAAGCTGCCCAGTAATTGCCACCTGGATGAGGAGAAGTAGCACTAATGAAGGGAGTCGCCATGCTCAGGAGGTTACATTGCATAATTGGCCAAACTTCCATTCCATGGGTACAGATTTCATATTTTTTTTAACTTTTCATGTGGAACGATGATAAACATTCACAGAAGTAGAGAACAGTATAACAAATGCCCTATACCCTTCACCAAGCTTCAAAAATTATTACTTTGTCAATCTTGTTTTACTTATTCTTCTCCACTTTGGGGGAGCAGGGTGGGAGGGAAGAAGTAGAATATTTTAGAGTAAATCCAAGATCTATCATTTTACTGATCAATACTTCTTTATACATCTATAACTTAGAAAAGGACTTTTAATCTAAAAAAACCCACAATGCTATCATCACTACCTAACATAATTAACACCACTATATATTCACATTCCCCAACTGTCTCAAAAATGTCTATTTATAGTTGGGCCAATCTCCATCTCAAGAGCAGTAGTGCATGCAGCATGGTGGTTCTGTGCATGGACTTTAGCCAGACTTCCTGGGTTTATATGCCAACTGTTATCTTTTTATTTTTTAGAGACAAAGTCTATGTTGCCCAGACTGGACTTGAACTCCCAGGCTCAAGCAACCCTCCTGCCTCAGTGGAACCACAGGTGCCACCACCACGCCCAGCTTCCAAACTTCTCCCATATGTGGCAGATGCAGCCCTTTCAGCCTTACTCAGGGACTTCCTCTCTCTGTGGCTTAATCAATTTTCCCTCCCCTCTAACGGACCACGGCTGTCAGAATGCAAACATGCCGTAATATTTCCCATCCTAAAGAACAGCCAATCCTGGCTAACTCCACACCTCCCTCCATCTACTCCAATCTATCCCACAGTCCACTCCAGCCCCAGTTCTCTGCTCTCTTCACAAGCAAATTCCTCTAAAAATTACCACACAGTCATCCCTTGGTATCTGCGAGCAACGGGTTCCAGGACTCCTATGCAGATACCAAAGCCCTCAGATGTTCAAGTCCCTCATATAAAATGGCACAGTATTTGCATGTAGCCTACCCACATCCTCCTGTATACTTTGTGTCATCTCTAGATTACTTATACTATCTGATACGATGTAAACAGTTGTTACACTGCACTATTGTCTTAACTTGTATTACTTCTTGTGGTTGTATGATTATTTTTTATTGGGTTTTTCCCCCAAGTATTTTCAATCTGCAGTCAGCTGAATCCGAGGATGCAGAACCAATGGATTCGAGGGCCAACCGTATCCGCCATCTCTGCTTCTTCGCCTTACTTTCTCTTTGCCTTTCTCTTTGCCTTACTTTCTCTTTTGAACTCATTCCTCAGAAGCCACCAGCCCCCTGGACCCAGTCAAGTCCATGCGTCATCCACGTGCGTGAGCCTCATCTTACCCTGCCACAGTGCCTGGCCCAGGTGCTGGCCCCTCCTTCACCAGCACCTCTCTCACTGCCTTGCAGGCTCCAGCCTTGATTTTCTTCTATCTCGGTAGTGATACCACTGTCACAGTCACTGAAGCCAAGACCATGGGGTCATTCTCAACTCCCTCCCCTCAGACCCCGACTCAGGCACCCACCCTTCACCACCTACAATGATGGCCAGCGTTACCTCTCACCTGACTACTGCAGCTGCCTCCCACACGGTTCTGTGCTTGTATTCTTATCCCCTCTATTCATTCTAACCAGCAGCCATAATTTCTTTAAATGCAAATCAGACCAAGTCACCCTGGCTCACCATCTTCCAGCAGTTCCCCACCACATTTAAATTAAACTCAAAGTCTAATATAATCCAACCACTGGCCACCTCTCCTGACCTCATCTTCCAAAACTGTCACACTTGCTCACTATGTTTCAGCCACAGTTTTCCTGTTGTTCTTCAACCACATTCCTGACACAAGGCATTTGCACTTGCCATTTCTAGGCCTGGAATCTTGTATCTCCCGATAACATGACACACTAATTCCATCCATCTCTCTCTCAAATGTCATCTCAAAGAGGCCTTCTCTGATCACCCTAGCTAGAACAGTGGACTACCACTCTCCACTCCTTGGCCTCTCTACTGATTTTCATTGCATTTATTATTATCTGACACTGAAGTATTTGTCTCCCAGCTTTATGAGAATATCAGTAGGTGGACACAACCGTGGTGCTGACAGGGACCTGCCGCACAGTGGGGGCTCCTGTCCCGATGCTGATGGGGGTGCTTGCAGCCCCAGAAGCCACAGCCACAGTCTTGGACACAGCGGCATTCATACTGGGCAAGGACACCGCTGAAGTATGAACAGTTCCAGACCCGCTGGCTACCGAGGCCCCTTGCTTGGCATGGGCTGCAACAGTGATGGTCTGGCCTGCTTTGGGAGGCATCACCCCCAGGCCCTGCACGATGCGGATCGTGGCAGCTGGCTTTGCTTCTGAAGACGCCACTGTGCTTTTGCCCTTCTGGTCTGCCACACTCACACCAAGAGCTGGCATCAAGCGAAAGGCTGAACTCGAGGCTTCTGTTGGCTTGAGGTCAGGAGTTTGAGACCAGCCTGAGCAAGAGTGAGACCCTGTCTCTACCAAAAAAAATAGAAAGTAGGCAGGGCGCGGTGGCTCACGCCTGTAATCCTAGCACTCTGGGAGGCCGAGGCGGGCAGATTGTTTGAGCTCAGGAGTTCAAGACCAGCCTGAGCAAGAGCGAGACCCCGCCTCTACTAAAAATAGAAAGAAATTAATCGGACAACTAAAAATATATAAAAAAAATTAGCCAGGCATGGCGGCACATGCCTGTAGTCCCAGCTACTCAGGAGGCTGAGGCAGAAGGATTGCTTGAGCCCAGGAGTGTGAGGTTGCTGTGAGCTAGGATGATGCCACGGCACTCTAGCCAGGGCAATAGAGCAAGACTCTGTCTCAAAAAAAAAAAAAAAAGAATATGAGCTCCAAGAAGGCAGGGATTTAGTCTGTTTAATATACCACTAAACTCCCAACACTTAGGACAGTGCCTGGCACATGAAAGACACTCAATATGTGTTAAATGAAAAAAAAAAAAAAAAAAGATGTGTCTTTATCGTTACGTGGTTGCATCTCTTCATCTGTAAAATGGAGATAACAGAAGTGCCCATGCCACAGTGCTATGAGGATTACAGTATTTAACAGGTGTAAAATGCTCAGCACAGTGCAAGCATGTAAGAAGCACTGTTATCAGTATTAGTTGCCATTTTGCTTAACAATCCTTTGAAGTTAAATGATTATCCTTTTATACTCACAATCAAGAAAGCACAATATTAATATATTCTATTTTTATTACTGGTAAACTGAAAATTCAGTAAACTATAGCCATGGGAATTTACCTGAGTAAATTACACCGTAGTACTTTAAATAAATTCATTGAGTCTACCCAAATCCAGAAATTCAAGAAATCTCTTTGGCCTCTATAAAGGCTGCACTGCCTTTGGTGGGGACTCACACCCGGAGTACATATAAACCAACGGTCAAGGATGACAAATCTTTCTCCCATGGGCACCTAGTGTGGTCAAGAACCTCCAACACCAGCGGTCCTTGCTTTAGGACAAAGGAGTAAGAGCCACCTGGAAAGAGTCCCACCTACCTGCTTGATAATGTTCTGTCCTGTGACGTTCTGGATGACAGCGGCCGTGGAGGCACTTGGAGCAGAGGTCCCAGGAGAACTCGTGGCTGGCTTACTCACAGGGCTGGCTGCAGCGGGGAGACTTGTCACCGTGAGCCCCGTCTGCCCAGGTCCAGGCCGCTGCACAGTGGCCGCTGCAGTCTGCGCTTTGACTGGAACAGTAGCCATTACCGCCTAGTTCAGGGCATGAGGCCAAGAGCTTAATTAGACACTAAGATGCAGACCAGCACTCCAAGCAGAGTCTCCCCACGTTACCACCCAGAAAGTGCTCATCTAAAAGTACTTCAAATCTAACAGTGCTAAGACTCACCACTCTCTAAAGTGGACATTGTAAATTTTTTATATTTGTGCAGAATATCTCAATTTTCAGAATGCTTTTACATTTAACATCTGATTTTATTCCTACACTGAGGACAAATTCCATTATATCCCTCTCATAGTAAAGGAAACTGAGGCAAAGAAGATACTAATCTTCTCTAAAATCACACACCTAGTCAGTAGCACAGCTAAGACTAGTGGCACACTGGAAGGAACCTAAAACTCGCAGGTTGAGACTGCCACCTCGCCTCTACCAGGGTCCTGACGTTAGAATCCTGAGTGAATCACTAAACTTCTCCAAAGGTCTGATGATTCCCAACATGTAAAATAGAGCATCTAAAAACACTTGCCCAGCTTTGAACGTTAAATGAGTTGTTTCGATGAATGGCATCAGTAAGAGCAATAATCTACAACTCCTCGGTCCTTACCCAGACCCTCTCTGTCGGACTCATTAATCCACCTCTGAGTCCACTGTCCCTGCTTCCCAATGACCTGTGGCTTCCCTGTTTACCTGGGGCACCACTTTGGTTTGTGTGGCAGTGGCTGGAACACGGATCTGCGGTCCTCCAGGCATCTGCGGCAGTGTCTGTGCTGCCCCTGCTGCCTGCTGGGGAACAGCAGGGAGGGTAGGCTGGGCCACCACCCGCACCTGAGGCACTCCTGCTGAGCCAGAGTGGCTCACGACTCGGGCAGCCTGAGAACTGGGTGGAGTCTGGCTGGAAGCTGGGGAAAGCATTGTTCCCAGCTGTGGCATTGTGGGTGAGGATACCAGAAGAACACTATGAGGAAAAGCAGGGAAGAAGAAAAAAGCAAAAACTTAGGACATTCTTACAACAGGAATTTGGAGGAAAAAAGCTGGAGAAGAAAAGGAATGGCTTACCCTGAGCTAGACTTAGCTGGCTCTGAGGCAGTGGTAGGGCCACTTTTGTTCACTGATGATACAGGTGGAGGCGAGATCGGAGTGGCAGGCAGCGCCGGCGTGGTGGGGGTTACAGGTGTGACTGGGGTGGGTGGCATGCTAGAGTCACTGAGGCTCATCTGGCTCTGCTCTGAAGGGCCACTGCTGAGGACTTTTACAGAGCTCTCCTTGCTACTGGACTTCTAGAACAGAAGACACAGGGAAATTCCCCTGCAGGTGCCATGAAGTTTCCACCGAAGGCAGGCATGGCCCTGCAGCTCCTGCTGCACTGAGTTAAGTGAAAGCTGAGTATCTCCTCCTGGCTGCCTCCATCCAAGAACATCCCAGAATCCCTACGGCAGATGCCGTCACGAGGTCACTTACCACCTTGGACGGGGGCTTAGGTTTTTGCTGAAGGGCTTTTCTGGCTTTAGCCGCAGCTGCTTGTGCTTGGTGAATCCGCTCTGTAAACAACAGTGAGCCTCAGCAAGAGTTTAACCTTAGCACACTAAGAAGGGGGTTTTGTTAAAAAAGCCAACGCCTCACTGGCAGGCTGTCCTGCCTCTACAATCCTACCCTGCCTGGACGCCAGGGAGAAGATGGAATTGGGGCAGAAAGTCAAAAGCACCCTAGTCTAGTGGGACACACCACCCAGAGGCCTCACACACCAAACTCTTCTTCGCTCCGGTCACGATGCAGGTAGATCCACAGCTTTCGCCCAATGTCGTACTTCACACAAGGGTCTTTCTCATAGTGCAGCCGATCCAGCGCGCCACTCACCACCGTGTTCACCTAGGAGCCGGGGCGATGGGAACACGAAACAAGTCAGACCCAGATAAAATAAGTTACTCAGGCTCTAGAGAAAAATCACCGGATAGAAGTCCCAGCTGATAAGCAGATTATTAACTCAGCCTAGCTGTGTACTTCCAATGACTCACCAAATCGTTCTGCAAAACAAGAAATGCTGTAAGACTACTGAGATATTGATCCGCTTCCAATGGAAGGATACTGTGAAATAAGTAAGTGACCAGCCTTCTCTTTACCATAAGCTAAAGGAAAGCCTAGAGCCACATTTATGCTTCACTGACAGCAAGGGTTTTTGGTTATCACTATGCATTTCTTTTTTGAGACAAGGTCTGGCTCTGCTGCCCGGGTTCGAATGCAGTGGCATCATCATAGCTCACAGCAACCTCGAATGCCTGGGCTCAAGTGATCCTCCTGCCTCAGCCTCCTGAGTAGCTGGGATCATAGGTGTGTACCACCACACTCAGCTAAGTTTTTAAATTTTTTGTAGAGATGGGGTCTCGCTATGTTACCGGGCTGGTCTCAGACTCCTGGCCTCAAGCAATCCTCCGTCTTGGCCTCCCAAAGTGCTAAGATTACAGGCATGAGCCACCGCACCTGGCACCATTTTTAAAGATATCCTTTTTTCCTTATTCAATTTAAAAATGTTATATTTTATATTTCCTAATAACTTTTTTTATTTTTTAATTTCAGCATATTATGGGGGTACAGATGTTTAGGTTACATGTTGCACTTGCCCCCTGCCCCAAGTCCGAGTTTCAAGTGTGTCCATCACTCGGATGGTGCGCATCGCACTCTTTCTGTATGCATATACCCGTCCCCTCCTCCCTCCTCCCCACTGCCCGACATCCAATAGATGTTATTCTTATATGTGCGCTTATGTGTTGATCAGTTAATACCAATTTGATGGTGACTAATAAGTTTTCTTAAATCCATCCAGGGACAAAACAAAAGTAATCTCTTCTCCACACTACCTGAGTGCTGGTGACATCCGGTGCAAGAAACTGGGAGTCCTTGAGCAGTTCGCAGATCTCTGCCCGTGTGCCTTCTCCATTAGGCAGCCGAGCCGCAGCATCCCGCACTGATGGCATCAGGAAATGCAAGAGTCAAGCAGGGCTCCTACTGAGAACTCCGTCCCCTGACCTGCTGCTGGTTGGGGAAGCTCCCTGGGGTTCCTGTTCCTCTGCCTTACCCAACTCAGCATTAGGTACACACTGCCCTCTAGTGGCTGGGAGCTTTGCCACTGGCGTTTCCTGTGCACTGCGCACGTTAGGCAAGACTGAAGTAAAGGTCTGTGGACACCTGAGAATTCAGTGGACCCATGAACTCAGGTGGGGGAAAAAATTATATCTGTAACTAAAATTTAGCATTTCCTTCAATTATGAACAACAGTAACATATATTGGCAGTGCTGTGATGGTGTATAGAAATCAGGTTATTTTCATACATCATAGCTGTTGCAGACAACTCAGAACATCATTTACACTCGTGACTATTTGGAATTACAGTAGTCAAAGACCTGCTGCCAGATCTTGTCATTTAATATGATCATAAAAACACATATATTTCTGCACCATAAATTTGTTTTAACATCTTGATAAGTACCTTCAACAAGATTGGTTTCTTTTATAACTCCACATATTTTATTTTATACATTTAAAAGCATAATTCTGAGAAGGGATCTAAAGGCTTCATCAGACTGCCAAAGGGATTCATGGTACAGAAAAAGGTTGAGAACCCTCAACTGTTTTTAAAACACATAAGGTCTCACTCTCATACCCAGGCTGGAGTATAGTGGCCCAATCCCAGTTTACTGGAGCCTCGAACTCCTGGGCTCAAGTGATCCTCCCACCTCAGCTTCCCAAGTACCTGGACCACAGGCATGCACCACCAGCTAATTTTTAAAATTTGGGTAGAGATAGGGTCTCACTATGTTGGCCAGGCTGGTCTCAAACTCTTGGCCTCAAGTGATCCTCCTGCCTCAGCCTCCCTAAGTGCTTGGATTATAGGCCTGAGCTACCATGCCCAGCCAAGAAAACACATTTTTAAAGCAATCATAGCCTGGAGGAAGCAAATTCCTACACTAACCCTAATATTTAGCTGGCCTGTGAGCAATTCCTAAATGATCATAAATTTGAACCCAGACTTCGGAAGAAACACCGATCCCCGGCATGTCTCCAAGGTTAAAATTCCCCATTCATCTCCCAAACTCCAAACCTTCCAAAAACTATGCCTCACCCTCAAAGCCTGCCCTGAGTAGGGGGGTGGGAGAGGACGGGAGGACAGAGTTCAGAGTTGATTAGAAAAAAGCTTTAGGGTAAAAAAGGGTTTCCTGATAATAAACACATGCCACATACCAAGAGACAGGATGGTGACGTAGGCAGGCCGGTCGGAGCGCAGCAAGGAGTGCTCCCGGGCCTTGTTGAGCGAGGTCTCCTTGTCAAACACGCCCTTCACCGGCCCCACCACAGACTCGAAGCCATGCATGCGAAAGGTGAACGCCTTATGAGGCTGGCTATACCTGTAACGCTCCTACCAAGAGAAAAGGGACAGGAGGTTCTTAAGACAGAATTAGTGGGGTTCTCTCTAGGGCTCCTTTACAATAAGGGGATCCATGTGCAGAGATTAAAACAGAAAGGAAACAGGTGATCCCACTAGAAATACTGAGCCAACAATGGATGGTCCTCAGAGCTAGTCACTAAGCAATGGACAAAGGTAGGTATTTCTTACCTGCTCCTGAAAAACCCGTTTCTCCTCCCCTGTGCTGGGCCGTACCACATAGTCAGTTCTTCTGGAACATGAAGAATTTTATATCAACTCGGAGACCTAACACATGGGTCACAGACCTCATCACCCCTTCTTCAGAACCATTCCCTCTGCAACAGTGAAAATTATACCTTTGTAGGTATCAAACTCTTGCAAAGGTGAAAAGTCTACTTTCCAGCTCCTACCAAGTTAACTCCTGTTGCTATTTCTAAATTTACTTGATTATTAGAAATATTGAAAGGTGGCCAGGCGTGGTGGCTCATGCCTATAATCCTAGCACTTAGAGAGGCCAAGATGGGAGGATTGCTTGAGGCCAGGATTTCAAGGCAACATAGCAAGACCCATCTCTACAAAAAAATTTAAAAATTGGCCAGGTGTGGTGGCATGCACCTGTGGCCCCAGCTACTAAGGAGACTGAGGCAGGAAGATCACTTGAGCCCAGGAGTTTGAGATTACAGTGAGCTGCGACACCATTGCACTATAGCCTGGGCAACAGAGCAAGATTCTGTCTCAGAAAAAAGAAAGAAATCCAAAAAGGTATTGGGTAGGTGGGAAAGAGGCTGACA